AGGTTGGCCTAGTGGTCAGTGTACTTGAATGTGAACCCACTGCCGCAAAATTCACTCCGCGCATTGAGGCCTGGGTGCATTATAAGAATGACGGTCAAACCTCACTATTCAATTAGAGTATTCCAAGAGATGGCGGTGTGTGTTATCAACCAGGCGCCTTCCTTCTTGTCTATCAGCTCAAAATTAGAAACAACTAGCGCAGGTAACCATTATGTAGCTCAGCGCTAATATCCGAAAACAAACAAATAATATAGAAGTTAAACAGTCCTGTATGTGCGTTGTGGCGAAATTCGATAAAAGGGGCGTAGTACCAAACTATGTTGAAATACTTCTACGAACTGATGATAATGATTATTTTGTACACACCTTTCTGTAGAGCTAATATGAATGAATAAAAACTTCAGGTAGCAAACTAAAATATTCATTTCACTAGCTTAGCAGGATTATAACTCTGGAAAAACTAACTTTCTGTCGTAGAATTTTCATTTTTTTCTATGGTGAAAGGTTGAATTGGCTTTGGACTCAACCATATATTAATACATTTGATACAATCCACTTAGCTTAGATACTTGAATAAAGATCTTTTAAAGTAATTTGAAGCTGAAATGGTTTTTATCGTTCTTCTAATGCATAGTTATCTTTTTTGAGACCTTTCAAATGGTTTATACAGCTAATTCCATAAGTAGACGGCAGATGTGAGCTTTTTGTATAATTTTGATAATTAATTTTATATATTTTTTTTACTTATTTAGATATAAATTAATTTTTTCTACGTTTTTTTTTTTCTTTCAGTGTTGTAGTTGGCATTTTCAACGTGAAATGGCACCTAATGTGACACATGGGTTAAACAGCCAGATGAGGGACATCACGATTCAAACTAATTTCCACTGTTATAACATCAATATTCAAATGATTTTCACTATAGTTTTAGCCTACACACCTACATTCATGTCGTTAGATGTTGATGCTGGTGTATATTATTGTTCTGTTTTAATGTAAACAATATTATCGGCATGACCTAGTTCCATGCACCCCATTTCTCAATTGAACAAAGTGTAAGTAGTATACGTCGTTCTTAAATAATTTGTAGAAACAAAGCGTCGAGTGTGAAAAATGCAATTTTGTTATGAAGGTTATGGTTGTTTTTTGCATCATACGAAATATCTAAATTACTCCAGTTAGAACTTCTTAGTGTGACTCTGCACTGTGGAAAGCTCAAAATTAATGAACGTCTAATCTGTTCTATTAATAATTATAATAGTGACTTATAAGCAGTCAGTATTGATGTAATGAACTAAAACCATTGTTTACTTTTAAAATATCGACCAACATATGATGCAGTTTCATCCAATAAATGTAATAACTGTTGTTGTTTTTAATAATTGATTCACAAATAATTAAAAAGAGCAAAGATACCTGATATTTGTATTTGTATGAAGATAACACATTGTAAAATAAATAAATCCAACTGCTACGAGATTAATGATTCTAAACTATATGAGAAATATGTATCGGGTGATTATCCATTGTGCTAAATTATGTTTGTTACATAATCTTTTAATACGTCTTGTTCGATGATATATACCTGAAACGCTTTACCATCACATTAATGCGTACCCTCTGGTGGCTCCGTCATAAGCTTGAGAATTACAATATTAAAGTTCGATGTCTGATATCTGCGGCGGATTGAGCACAAGTAGTCCATTGTGCAACAAACAAACAAATCACATCAGTGCTGCACGCAAATTCCAAAGCTTCAAAGAGTAAAATTCATTGAAACAGAGAAGTTTTAGAAATCCTGAAATAAGTGTATTCAGGGTAATGGACAATCTCATATACTTTCCCAAACACACATCCATTTTTTTAATTTTCAAGTTTCTTAGCATTTTTTTCATCGTTCTTCGATCATAGTTATATATTTTTTTTCCTATTTGAGCCAACCTTCTGAAGGAACACTGCATATCAATGTAATTATTTATCATTAAAATCAACATTTGCCCTTTTACTTATTATCTGCTTCCACACATGTTATTAAAGGAGATTCAATAATGTTGATGGATTCATTATGTTGCACAGTATATATATATGTGTGTATGTGAATGTGTGTGTGTGTGATAGCCAGTCTTTTGTTTCTTGTTTTTTCCATTAAATGAATAACACTCCTGAGAAATTAGCACATTAATAAAAAAAACATGTGTAACAACGTCCTTGGGAGAAATTAATGACAAAACACACGGTTTTATAATTGGCACTTTTAACTTGTAATCATTTTTCAAAGAATCAAGTGAGCTTCTAGATTTTCAAGATAAAGAATATTGGGAGAAATAAAGTTAATATTAAGTAGTTTAAGGAAATAAAATGCCATATGTGCAGGATAACTTTTCGATTTTGTACGTGTGTTAAAAATACAAATGTTTATTTATGTTAATTCAATTCGTGTGTGAATTTATTTATTTATTTCCACGGATTCATCCCACAGTTTAGGAACTAGAATGACCAAAGTTGACATATGGACTCGGGATGGCTCGGGGGTACCCTTATCTTATCTCATGTGGGAGAAGGTAAAGGAAAGTCACCCAGACGTCATGGAGTTTATAAGCAAGTTTCGGGATCGCTGAAATTAAATTTGGCATTGGATTTTATGTTCCTGGCCCCCTTCAAGATCCATTGGGTATCATATTTGAAACTGTGTTCGTATCTCGCCTCACATGCTAGTGGGACCAAACTGGGTACAAAACGTTTAGGTATCCGGACAGATGTCCTAATGTGTTGTGGTGCGTACCCTTTTGAAATAACTATAGCACCCTACAAAAGGAATACCAAAGGACTCAAATGCTCCCGAAAGATCATTCAGGCATAATGGAGGTCTAGGAATACGTTTTTAAGGTCGCTGAACCCGAATCTGGCATCAAATATATGTTCCTGGCCAGGACACCGTATTTAAAGCTAGTGTTCATTCCTCCACTGACAAGTAAGTGAAACCAAACATAGCTCAGGTACCACAGGCGTGTATCCTAAATATGTTTGTTTTCAAGTAATGATCCTCTCTCTGGAGTAGCTATGGAAGGAATTGGGTACAACAGAGTAGCTTTGTCGGTATATTTGTGGTTTCTGTAAATCATGAGTGACCTATGAACCTTTCAGTGGACCTCCTACAACCACACAATAAGACATGACGACAAGAGACAACACATGAAAGATTTTAGTGAAATGAATATAAAATATTCCACTCATTTATC